TTAACTGATGCTAAGAAATACGAAGAAGCTATTGAATAATGTGAAAAAGTAATCACTAAATAACCACAATTCCTCCATGCTTATTATAGAAAAAGTAATCATGCTTATTAAACAAAAGGCTATTCTTTACAACTTTAGAATTAAAATGAATAAGCCATATAGTGCACTCAAATTCAATCCAAAATTTTGTATGGCATATTTCTAAAAAGGTAACTAAATTTTTACATTCTAAGGGTATATGCTATTATAAGAATTAGAATAACAATTATACAGTAAAAAAGTAACCATTAAGATGCAATTATTTGTTATGATAATGCAATTTTATTAGATCCTAATTTCTCTATGGCTTATAATAACAAAGGTGTGTTTTTTTTGTTAAATTAATAGGTATTTCATTATTGAATTTATAATTATATAACGATGCAATATTTTGCTATGATAAAGCAATTTAATTAGACCGCAATTTTGCTTTGGCATATAATAATAAGGGTATATTATTGATTTAATAGTAGGTATTTCATTACTTAATTAAAAAAAATATAGTGATGCTATAGTTTGTTTTGATAAAGCAATTTAATTGGAACCTAATTTTTCAATGGCATATAATAATAAAGGTTAATTATTTATTTTTATTGAATAGGCAATTCTTTAAATGATTTAAAGAAGTATAGTGATGCAATTGAATGCTTTGATAATGCAATCTTATTAGATTCGAATTTTGCCATAGCTTATAATAATAAGGGTAGATATATTATTTTATTGATTTAGGAAATTCACTATTTAATTTACAATAATCTATGGAAGCTATTGCTTGTTATGATAAAGCAATCTAATTGGATCCGAATAATGAAACTTATTATAACAATAAAGGTTGATATGGAATTTGATTGTAATAGGAAACTCATTAAATGTACTTAAGAAGTATAGTGAGGCTATTGAATGCTTTGATAAAGCAATTTAATTAGATTCGAATTTTGCCATAGCTTATAATAATAAAGGTAGATATATTATTTTATTGATATAGGTATATCATTAGAGAAATTATAGAAATATGATGAATCTTTAGCAAATTTCAGTCATGCATTAGAGATTGATTCAAAATATTCATAAGCTTATATGAATAAAGGTAATATTTACTAAACTAACAAGGTGATGTATTATCAAAGATGAAAAAGTATTAATAAACAATAGATACTTATGTGAAAGCAATCTCTTATTGTTAATAGGATGAGAATGAATTTAAAAGGTTAATTTTGGAAGCCAAAAATAAGATTTGAAATATTATTCATAATAGTTTAAATAATTTTTATTTAAGTAATATAACCCTTAGAATAGGTTATTTCTTAACAACTGAAAAATAAGATCAAATCAATATATCTCCTTGGGAGGATTTAACTTACAATATTCTTGTAAGATTATAACAATAATTTGGTTATTAAATTGCTCATGTAATTCTTTTTTTTTTAAACTACTTTTAAATATATATAATTGTTAATTATTTATAGATATTTATATTAAATGAATAAATTAGTGTTTGATATCATTATGATTTATAAACACTATCATCATCTGAAGAAGTATAGTAATTAATAATTTAGATAATTATTATGCAAAAATTATTTTTTATTAAATGCTAGAACAATCTCAATAAATATATAAAAATAATAATATAAAAAATAGTCTATGGTTTACAAAATTTTTTATCATTCTAATTACGAATTTAAAATTAGGTATTAGTAATATGTAAATTATTAATTTAGCCAGTGATAATTATATATGAAAATTTTCTATAGAAAGGTTGATTATAACAACTGAAATTTCATATATGATAATACATCTTATAAGAATAGGGGAGAATATTTTTGTGCTTTAATTATAAAGCAAAGAAATAAAAAAATTGGAAAAAAAATACTGTTGTCATATTGAATATTAATTAATCACTTAAAGTTTCAGTAGATTAAATTAATAACTTTATAAACAGCCCCTTTTAATAAGTATTCTAAGAAGTATACCAAAAAAATATATCTATGAATCATTCGCTTCAATAAATAAGAAACGGAAATTTGTCAGATTAATTTGAAAATTCTTTTATTATGGGGAAAATTTAGCAAATCTTTGAGGCATCTGAACTAAAAGAAATTCTAAATAGGGATGCAATTCTATATACAATTTATTGAATTTATATGCAATCTGCCCAAGGTTTAACCCATTCCTTAATCATAAAGTAGTTTTCCTAGAGACTAAGGAGTTAAAAAGATGTAATCTACATTCTCTTTTATAGAAGGATTATTAATAAAGGATGATGAAGTAGTAGAAGTCCTGTTTAGTGCAGATAGGAGTTGCTCACAAATTGATTATTGTCACCATCAAATTGGCTAATATCTCTTTATTATGGAACAAATCATAAAAAATAGCATTATCTGCTTTGATAAGGGGTATAATTGACCAATTTCCTTTATAAGTGATCGGACAGGAAGAAAAAAAAAGTTATTCCTAATAGAAGCATTCTTAATAGTTTTTATCTTCTAAATTAATATAAAAGAAACACAAAGTAAAGGGAAAGAAATGATCATCCAAATTTGGAATTATAAGGAAGCAATAAGCCTATTATAAATTTAATTAATTTATGATATACAGTTTCCATAACACATCTGCCATCATTGCTTCAGATCTATATATATTATTATGAATAAAAAAATAAATTTTTAATGTAAAATTTTCCTATTTTGAATTAATTTGATTAAAAATGTTTGGCATTTGAATGTAAAATCCAATAAAATGCACATTATTGTCATTAACTTGTCAATAAATATTGGGGGATATGCCAATTTTTTTCTAATTATTTTACTTTTTTTTGATACCATCAATGCTTATTCAGCATTTTTTCTTTTTTATATTTAATCTTAAAGAAGATAATATAAAAACAGTATAAACTATTTATGTTGGTAAAATAATTTTAATCAATATTTAATCAGAATATATCAGATATTTGTTGAAAATCTGCTCATATTGTAGTTAGTGAAAGTTTAAGAAATTTAAATCCATTATTTGTTTGATTGTAATCTGGATATTTCTTTAGTTGATTATAAAATAAAATAAGTGTAAATGAGATTATTATAATTAAATTGGAAATTATAACACTAAGCATTACTGTATCATCTTTATCAGTTACCACTAAATTCAATTTTTATTTTCACTTCTACTCTCTTTATTTGTTTGGTTGAGCATTGACCATCTGAGCGATTTAAAAATTTTAATTGTATTCATTCAAATACTGATAACATAAATTGATATAAAATTTTTGTGTCTTAATGGAAATAACCATATCGAAAGTATGACCATTTCCATTATTAGCATTAATCCTTTAACAAGTGATACAATTATTTGAACTTTTCATACTTTAGTTATATTTCAATTGATATTTGCCTTAAAAATCAACCTATAATTAGAATATCGACATATTGAAACAACTTTCTTAACATATTTGACACATATCATTATTAAAATAATAGAGTTTATAGGAGAGAATAAACACATAAAGTAAGCAATTTGCATTTCAAAGAAGGAAGAATACATTTGTGAGAAGTACTCTCTTCACATTATTATTAATAAAAATAAATAGTACTTTTAAAACCATCTCATATATCTACTCATTGATAAATTTTCTTTTGGAATGCTGCTTGAATGTAAGTGAAAAAAAATATACATTGTACCTTTTGAGTCATCTTTTAAATATGATGATACATTAAAATCCTAGAATTTTATGTAAATAAAGGACAGTCCTTTTTCTCACATATGCAGAGAGAAACAGCAAATGAATGCCTAATTACTTGAATTAAATCATCAACACGATAATTTGATAATCTCAGTATGAGTAGAGGTGGTATTAAAACAGGATATAACTTTTATCTTTCTTACTTCATTTGATAAAGCCATTATTGAATACATAAATTTCATTAACTTCAAAAATTATAATTTTGGGATATTTAATATTAAAACATATTATTCTAATTAAGTGGTGAAGATAAATTATGAAAAATTCAAAATCTAAAAACAATTACTATGGCCCTGCGACACTGAAGAAACCTTATTTTGGAAGTAGTCCTTTGAAAAATAACATATACTACTGTTATTGAACTCTTATCATTATTCTTTGAGATTTATAAGGAATTAAAAAAATATTTTTATGTTCATTCTACTAGATGAATAGTTTTAAACTTTTTAATTCTTATCTGTAAAAATATAAAATAAGAGATTCTTATATAAATATTAATTTTCCATTCTATCATACTGATTTCAGAATTAAATTATTTGTTAAATTGTTGTTACATTATGAAAACTAGTTAATCAATGCAATCCAGCTCTTAAAATCTTTTAAATCTATTAAAATCGGAAGAGAAAGCATAAATGGGCTGATTTTTTTTTTAAGAGGATAGATTGCGAGCATTAATGATTATAATTTGTAGTGTTTAAAAAATAAATTATATCATAATTATTAAATCAAATTAATATAATTAATATCACATATTTAATTCAATCTTCGTCTTAATTTTCTTTTATATATGAGTCTTTCGGTGAATGCTCTTACACTTACACCATCATAATTAATGGAAGGAACTATTTTCTTCAGATTCTGTTCCATAAATAAGAACACTATATATTTCAAAGATAATTATGATAATCAGAACAATTATTATATCTAAAAAAATTTTGGACCCTTTTTGAAAGTTTTTGAACTTTTTCGAGTACTGATGACTTGAACTTCAACTGAAATCTATACAGATATAAACAAGGTAATTACCTCACCTCTTACTGCTATGTTTGAATTACTTTCAGATACCCATACTGGAAATTGCAAGTTTCCTTGAACCTTACATGTTCATCAATCCAATTATGTCCTTTGAAAGTTCAACAGTACGAACTATATAATTCTTAAAAAATATATATTAATAAGGGCAAAACATATAAAAAATTGTTCTTAAATCATATTTTACCCTTACTCAAATTGTTTTTCTTTGATATACAACTGGAAAAAATAAGTAATCTTAATAACCATAGCAAAAAAGGCAAAAATTGCTTACGAGAATTTCAACTAACGATTAAATAATTTATTAAAGTGTTGAAGAATAAATTTTACATTATAATTAGATTAAAACTAAATTATGAAGTATTACAAATTACAGTGAAATATATTAGAAGATTTTATAAATCTAAGATCTATCATAATAAAATAATGAGATAATTTTGGATATTTCATTACTACATTAACAATATTTGTGATATTTTTGAAATACTTCCTAAACATGATTGTTTCCGCTTGAGGAAATATCTTTTTGTAATTGATTAGGAGACTTTTTATTATAGATAACTCTTTACTGGTTCTAATCAATTTCAATTTTAATATTAATGAGAGCGAAATAATAATAATAAAAAAAAAATTTGAATTTTACTTATATATTGAATATAATAATTATCTCATTCTTCTCTGAATTTCCTTATTTATATCTCTTTTGATTCACCATCCCAAGTAATTAAATATTCTCCATCATGACTCAATTATCCATATATACTAATTGTACCAAATTAAATAGATTACTCAACTTTAAATTCAGAATTTTGTGTTAATCTTATTAAATTTATAGATTTCAAATGCTTATTCATAAGTAATTATTTTTATTTAACAAATTATTATGGAAATAAGGTACTATAATCATTTCCTTGTTGATTTAGAGTAATTTTTTTTGATTTAGTGAACTATTAACTTACACTATTCATCTCATAGACATACATTAAATTACCAGATCTAGGTTAAAATGTAAATAGATTATTGTTGATAAAACATAATCGATATCCTTCACAACCAACTTCTATTTTTTATTTGACAATCCAATTTTTATTATTTTATGATTATTCAATTATTAATATCAATTTATCAGATCCACAAGATATAACTTGATTTTATTATTCATTTAAACTTAATTGATTAACATAACTATTATGATCTGTGATTGTTTATTAACAGATCCATTCATTTTGTTTAATCCAAAACTTAATAGTCTTATCATTACTACTTGATATAAACAGATCTTCATTATTATTCAAAATTAAACAATCAATCCAATCATTATGAGCTTAAATAGTTTATGTGCAAATCCATGAATTATTATTATTATTAAATGACCAAATCAAAATAGATCTTTAATCTCCAGAAATCAACTAATTTGATTATTTCATAAAATTTAAAACAAATATTACATAGTAGCTTTCCAAATAATTGGTATATTTTATTGAAAAGAATATTTTAGAGTATTTCAAATTTTTATTCAAGATTAAAGTAGTTGAGACAAATTTCTATGCTTGTAATAGATTATAAGCCAAAATAAAGTTTTGAAATGATTCATATTTGAGAGCAATTCCTTTTAAACTTATAAATTATATTTTCCCATTGTCTAATTCTTTTTAATTACTCATCAAATAGCAAGTAGAAAATCCCCACTGCCAATTATTTATAAACTTCGAAAATTAATTATATACAACAATAATAATTTAGATGTCAATTTCAATAAATCTTTATACTCTTCTACAGATAGAGTTCTAGTGTCTAAGATGCTTATATCTTTCTGCATATATTTTTTCACATAAACAAAAAAAGTCAGATTCTCATTATATTAAGTCATCACTAAACCATTGAATTCTACCTATATATATTTTAAATATATAATTGGATAATTTATTAAAATCCTCATCATTATAGACCTAGTATGATCTCATACCTTTTAAGAAGAATTATTTCCTTTTTCCTCTTCTTAATTTAGTTTGGATTCACCATTCTCTTGTATTCTAAACTCCATAACTATCTGCTTAATCTCTTTATCCATCATGATAAATTTTCTCTAAAAAGTCTTAAATACTAATTGCTAATTCATTTAGGCTTTCAACTTCCACCAATAAACTTTATAGATATTTCTATTCCTACTAGGTTTCATTTTCTATTGTTTTTTTTTCCTCTTATGTTATATAAATACTCTATCAAGTTACTTTTTATCACAATCCCATTCACATTAAGAGATCTTATAGCAAGCTTAAGAGTAGAAAACTAATGATGAGGTTTAAAACTAATCCTCAAGGGATCTTAATTTATGTAAAATGCTTAACAATTTTTTGTCACTTAAATAATATGATCAGGTAAAAAAGAGAATATCAGATTTGAAAATGTATACATTAATTTTCTTTATTTTATTATTTAAGTTTAATCAACTTCATTAAACTTAGAGAATTTCTTTAAATTAAAATACATTTCAGATCTAATATATATATTTTTTGAATCATTATGAAGAGTAATTAAAAAGTTTCAATCAATCTTCTCAAGATCTAATATACTTTAGTTTAAATTAGAATTTGTTATTTTGATATAAATATTGGTTTATAAATAAAATAGATCTACATATATTATTATTTATTATAAAAATTGATACATGGTTTATATATGTTCAAACAATGATAGAGACCAAAAAACTTAAATCTATTGCTAAGGGAGGACAATATTAAATTTATAAGGCTCTCAGCAAATTAGTAGTTGAATATGAGAACTTTCGGAAAAAGGAAAACTAACCATAATTCTTAACTCATCTAATGCTTAAGACCCGATCAGAAAATCTTAATAATTTGAAACCCTTAGATGATGGGAAAAGCATTAATTGTTTTTCTGTAATTATTAAATATATGAACTATAGTGGTTATATGAATACAGATCAACTTTAAAAATGGAGTAACCAAGAATCCCATACGATATATATTTTGCTAGTTGGTCAAAGATTTATAGGATTAAGAATGTTGTTAATAGATTGAGATTTAGGAAACTACTATAAGTATAAGATATTCAACCAATTCCTTTGGATGATAATATTCCTATAACTATTTTTGGCCTTGGCAGAATGGATAGTTTAAGGATCTATCAATCTGGCTGAGAAATATAATTTTAAGGTTAATTTTTAGAAATCTAATTTTGTCTTTAAATTTAAGAATTAAAAAAATCAATTGAATTTATAGGAGATTATAAGGCAAAAATGTTTTAAATATTTAAGTATTCTAAATACATCAAGAAGTAATATTGAATAAGATATGAGATTAATAAAATATAGAGCTTCTTTTGTTAAAACAAAATCTAATTTAATAAGATAATTACACATAAGACATATGACTTAATGATGGATCTCATTCATTAAGCCGCATTTGTATTATGTGGACTAGTTTTTAAAAACCTTCTGATTTCTATTATAATTTATTGGCAACACTTACCGATTCCTATGATACATTCCAATAACTACATAGATGAAATATGGTTTTAATTAGGTGGTAAATTAATATAATTCTTTTATCAACTACTAAATAACTTGATAGATGGAAGATTTTTTAAAATTCCCCTANATTTGAAAATGTATACATTAATTTTCTTTATTTTATTATTTAAGTTTAATCAACTTCATTAAACTTAGAGAATTTCTTTAAATTAAAATACATTTCAGATCTAATATATATATTTTTTGAATCATTATGAAGAGTAATTAAAAAGTTTCAATCAATCTTCTCAAGATCTAATATACTTTAGTTTAAATTAGAATTTGTTATTTTGATATAAATATTGGTTTATAAATAAAATAGATCTACATATATTATTATTTATTATAAAAATTGATACATGGTTTATATATGTTCAAACAATGATAGAGACCAAAAAACTTAAATCTATTGCTAAGGGAGGACAATATTAAATTTATAAGGCTCTCAGCAAATTAGTAGTTGAATATGAGAACTTTCGGAAAAAGGAAAACTAACCATAATTCTTAACTCATCTAATGCTTAAGACCCGATCAGAAAATCTTAATAATTTGAAACCCTTAGATGATGGGAAAAGCATTAATTGTTTTTCTGTAATTATTAAATATATGAACTATAGTGGTTATATGAATACAGATCAACTTTAAAAATGGAGTAACCAAGAATCCCATACGATATATATTTTGCTAGTTGGTCAAAGATTTATAGGATTAAGAATGTTGTTAATAGATTGAGATTTAGGAAACTACTATAAGTATAAGATATTCAACCAATTCCTTTGGATGATAATATTCCTATAACTATTTTTGGCCTTGGCAGAATGGATAGTTTAAGGATCTATCAATCTGGCTGAGAAATATAATTTTAAGGTTAATTTTTAGAAATCTAATTTTGTCTTTAAATTTAAGAATTAAAAAAATCAATTGAATTTATAGGAGATTATAAGGCAAAAATGTTTTAAATATTTAAGTATTCTAAATACATCAAGAAGTAATATTGAATAAGATATGAGATTAATAAAATATAGAGCTTCTTTTGTTAAAACAAAATCTAATTTAATAAGATAATTACACATAAGACATATGACTTAATGATGGATCTCATTCATTAAGCCGCATTTGTATTATGTGGACTAGTTTTTAAAAACCTTCTGATTTCTATTATAATTTATTGGCAACACTTACCGATTCCTATGATACATTCCAATAACTACATAGATGAAATATGGTTTTAATTAGGTGGTAAATTAATATAATTCTTTTATCAACTACTAAATAACTTGATAGATGGAAGATTTTTTAAAATTCCCCTAAGGCTAATTTGTACTTTTTAAAATATCAAGAAATTCTTGAAGAATTTGATTATGAAACGATGACTTAAAAATAAAATAGAGAGAAAGAAATAAGGTTGTATTCTTATAATATAGTCAACAATCTCCAGATTATAAAAACACAACTTGAAAATTAAATATATCCCTGCTCAAGGATAATCATATAGGTTAAAATTTTGCTTTAAAATTACTAGTGAAGAGGTTTCAGTTGTAATTTAGCCATTTAAAATTTTTAATATGTAATTACTAAGCTAGAGCCACCGCTATAATCAGATTTAATTTAGATATAGTTAAATTTAAATATTTAATTTCTCAAATATATCACAAAAATATTCACAATAGTAGCTGAATTCATTTATTTAAGATTCATACTGGATTTATTTTATATTAAATCTTCAAATTCAAATAAAGAGATTGAATCATGATTAAAAACTTTTAGATAAAATATCAAATTTTCAAATCTAAATAGATTGATTTTCATTTAATTTTTTCTTTAAAGCTATATTAGATAGTTGATAAAGGAGTAGATTATTATTGTTTCAGGATATGCTAACAAATTATATAACAAATCTACTCTTTTTTTATAGAGATTATCATCCATTTTGAAACCTAATTACACATTTTTAATCTATCAACTTTAAATAAGGGTTCATTGTTAACGGAAAAGCATAACTTTTAATTATTGACAACAAAGTTTTGATAATTTAGTCCTTTAACTAACCTTAAATTTTAAATTCCCATATAATCCTTTTAATTTATTAATTAGCCTAAATTGATCATTATTAAAAAAAATAAATAGAAATTTTCTTTTAAATAAACATGAAAATTGAGATTCAACTGTATGATCTCAATTTAAACAATAGTAATTCGTCTTTATCATTACATAAGCGTGGTCATACTAGTAATTAGACTAATTTTATTTATCCTTATCTAATGTGTTATTATATTTATATGATTTATAAACAGAATAAAGAACTTAGACTATTATAGGTTTATTCATTAATTATTTTTCCTATTCAAGATTAATATTTTTAAATCTTCTCCTAAAATATTAAATGTTTTAAAAATCAATATTATATCAAGCCTTTTTCTTTATTATTTCAATATAGAGCTTAATCTGAAATAAAAAATAAAAACAAAAAGATTTTTCATCGAAGTTAGATAATAAAATGAGTAGAAATAATTTTCAATCATTAACCTTGAATTGTCAATAATTATTTATAATATCATATGTTTCTTTAATTACTATAAATCATTGAATTTACAAAAAATAAAGAAGCAAGAAATACATTTTTGGTGATCATAGAATATTCCTAAATTACTTAGACAGTTACATGACAACTTGTTTCATATTTTAAATTTAAAGTAGATATATATTAAATGATTTTGAACTTTCCCAATAATTAAGTTTATTTTAATGAAAGTGATTTATTTGATGTAAGTACAAAAATCATAAGAGAATTTTTATTAATTGAATTCTTAACAAATTAATTTTATTTTTTTTAAATTTATTCATATATATGTTAATCATATGTATTCAACTAAATAATATTAGTTTGATTGATTAAATACAATTATATATCAATCTCAGTTTTAAATTCAAATTTACATTGTAAATAAGATTAGTAGGAGTTATTGTTCAAATCAAATTCAGATGGTTTTTTAAAGATGTAGCATCTTAATTAAATGGAGCAATTATTTCAAATGCAAGGTCGAATTAAATTTATGGAAGCCCTGTATACATCGGTCCATTAAAAGATTCTATATATATAACTGATCAACCTGATCCTCATTTTTATACATTTAGTTCGCTGGATGTTTAGTTTAAACAAATATATGAAGTTAACTAAATAAAAGTCTGGTTCTATGATATAGACAGTCGAGTACATAGTTTTAAAATAATTTTGATTGATAAAGATAATAGAGAAAAGAAAGTAATTTCAGGGTATTAAAAAAAGGTCTTGTAACAATTAATTTTGAAGATCATTTTACATAAAAAATAAAAATAATCAATATGCCTGGTGGCACTTATAATGCTTTAACTATTATAAAAACCTAAGCTTTCTTTTTAATTAAAAGGTTCCCTTGAGAATAGAGATTAAATGAATTTAATATATTTTAATATTTGCTTTATTAATAAGGTTTTAATTATTTAATGCAATAAAAAAATTAACTTAAAATGAAATATCTATAATCATAAATACTTTATTTAAATAAATTTTATTTTTAATAGACACATATTATAAATACATTGATGATTAACTTTTAATTTATCAACTATAATATGGATAAATGAGAATATCTATTATTGACCTTCATTTTTGATGTTGTAGAGTAAGCATTATCAAGTTAATGAAAATCATATTCCAAAAAATTAAGTGTTATATTCAAATTTGATTGATAGAGGTGTATTTATTGTATGCAATAAAGTATAAAAAATGGAAGATAAAAGAGTAAAAAGACTAAAATTTTAAATATATATCTTAAAGATTTTTATATTCAAAATATATAAATAAAAGTAAAATTAAACTATTCTTAAAATAAAGGAGAGTTTAATTGCCCTATTATGCAAAATCAGAATATCTATATTCTAAATTATTATAATAAAGAACTCAAAAATTTAATTGGTTTAAAAAGCATAAAATAAATTATATTTCATATAAGTGAAAGAATGCTTGATCAATTATCTTAATTCTAATTGATCAAATTTCTAATTTTTTTTAAGAAGATTAGATGATAAATTCAATAGAAAAAAAATATCAAAATTTAGGTTTTATTTTTTTTTTATAATGAAATAGTGTTATAATAAGATGAGTATTCATACTTAATAATATTAGAATTGTATTAATTAAGTTTAATATTGTACTATAAATNGCATCTTAATTAAATGGAGCAATTATTTCAAATGCAAGGTCGAATTAAATTTATGGAAGCCCTGTATACATCGGTCCATTAAAAGATTCTATATATATAACTGATCAACCTGATCCTCATTTTTATACATTTAGTTCGCTGGATGTTTAGTTTAAACAAATATATGAAGTTAACTAAATAAAAGTCTGGTTCTATGATATAGACAGTCGAGTACATAGTTTTAAAATAATTTTGATTGATAAAGATAATAGAGAAAAGAAAGTAATTTCAGGGTATTAAAAAAAGGTCTTGTAACAATTAATTTTGAAGATCATTTTACATAAAAAATAAAAATAATCAATATGCCTGGTGGCACTTATAATGCTTTAACTATTATAAAAACCTAAGCTTTCTTTTTAATTAAAAGGTTCCCTTGAGAATAGAGATTAAATGAATTTAATATATTTTAATATTTGCTTTATTAATAAGGTTTTAATTATTTAATGCAATAAAAAAATTAACTTAAAATGAAATATCTATAATCATAAATACTTTATTTAAATAAATTTTATTTTTAATAGACACATATTATAAATACATTGATGATTAACTTTTAATTTATCAACTATAATATGGATAAATGAGAATATCTATTATTGACCTTCATTTTTGATGTTGTAGAGTAAGCATTATCAAGTTAATGAAAATCATATTCCAAAAAATTAAGTGTTATATTCAAATTTGATTGATAGAGGTGTATTTATTGTATGCAATAAAGTATAAAAAATGGAAGATAAAAGAGTAAAAAGACTAAAATTTTAAATATATATCTTAAAGATTTTTATATTCAAAATATATAAATAAAAGTAAAATTAAACTATTCTTAAAATAAAGGAGAGTTTAATTGCCCTATTATGCAAAATCAGAATATCTATATTCTAAATTATTATAATAAAGAACTCAAAAATTTAATTGGTTTAAAAAGCATAAAATAAATTATATTTCATATAAGTGAAAGAATGCTTGATCAATTATCTTAATTCTAATTGATCAAATTTCTAATTTTTTTTAAGAAGATTAGATGATAAATTCAATAGAAAAAAAATATCAAAATTTAGGTTTTATTTTTTTTTTATAATGAAATAGTGTTATAATAAGATGAGTATTCATACTTAATAATATTAGAATTGTATTAATTAAGTTTAATATTGTACTATAAATAGATTTTTATACTTATTATCCACTTAAAGTATTGGAATTTTTAAATGTATGCGTAAATATAAGTCTACCAATCAAATAATCTATGAGTTGTAGTTGGTGAAATTAAACTCAAATCATCATATCCTCAAGTCTTTTGAAAAAATAAATGAGTTTGCTCTAGAAATAGCATAAATGAATTAAGGAAGTAGAAGTTTGGAAATTTAGAGCCATTTTTGGAATATATAATAATAAATTCATATACAACTAAATAAATGTCTTCATAAAATAAAAATATCCAATTTTATAAATTAGAGTTTAGTTTGATAAAGAGATATATGAGGTTTTTATTAGTCCAAAAAAACGATCCTTTGCAATTTTAAGGCTGATTGATCCAAAAGAAGTACAAGATTAGTATTTAATAGCTTCAACTTTGTTCATAAACTTTGAAATTATATTAGATATCCAAACATAAGCCATAGTAAGCTAAAATCCTTGAAGTTAAGAATTTAGATAGACATCAAATATTTAAAATAATAGAATGATTATTGAGACTTAGCAAGTGAAATAAAAATTATCAAAATAAAATTTTGAATTTATGATTTTCAAGATATTTTCAGTAGTAATTCTTATAGAAGATTTTCTGTCAAAATAGTAAAAACGATTAAGTTATATTAAATTGACATTGATATTGAAATATATTATTAGATCGGAGCTTGAATTGCCTGATGGTATTTAATGAAATATTATGAAATTTTTAACATCTAACAATAAAAACCAGAACAAAAGAAGGAAAGTTTTCTCATATATTTTAATTTCTAAATTACCTATAGTAGCACAATATGCAACTTCCAATAAAGCAATCTTAATTTAATTAAACTTAAACTCAAATGAAAATATAAATATAAATGCTAATAACATCTTTCTATAGTATTTAAAATAATCCTGTAATAATATAAAAAGCAATATGACATTTTTATAATGAATGACTCTTAAATTAAATGTATTATTTAATTATTATTACTATTTTGCAGCATATTTCAAGTATCCTATAATCTATTTAGTTTGATAGGATTAAATAAATTAATTTACAAGAAATTTCATATTTTTAATTTATTTTATTATAATATTCATATTTTTGTTGACTGCTGACATACCAAAGAGTCTAACGAAGTCGGCACTCGCTTGACTGTTACAATAATGGCACAAACCATTCTCCCATTGAATCAATTTTTACAGAAGGGGCAAACACATAGTCCTTAACTCCAGTTTTGAGTAAAATCATTAGAAGATACTGTTAAAGAGAAGATTTATTCACAGAATACCCTGGCAAACAAGAGGAAGTCGAACTCGTCATCAATGTCGTGTAGCCATAAGGATTAGTCAAGTCTCTTAGTTATAAGGATAATTTCCTTATCGCCAACAATAGATTATCTGTATGCAGTGAAGCCACAACCAGAAAGGAAGAGGTTGAGTATGCTGTCAATACAGTCATCATTCAGGTGGCGCATTTATCATACTTACTGCTCAAGTTGTCATTAATATTAACATCTTAGAGTCGCTAACTATTTTTGTCTCCTTTTATTTAACCATCATCCTTCAACCATGTTCTGAATCTTTTATCCAATTTATTTCTTCTTCTGAGTTAGATGAAATCCTCTATAATTAGATTCTTGAAGTTTGGACAAGGAAACATGATGGAGGTCTCCATCTTCATCCATCAAATGATAAGTGTTTATTGACTCTGAAGGTTTATTGATAAAAGTGGGTGATCTAGTCGGAAACTGATGTACACTATGAAGGAATAGGTGACAATTGAGTATCTCTTTAAGTAGGACTTTACTGATGATTAAATCTGACTGCTGAGCAAACTGATAATTTCTGGTCAACATAAAATTTTATCCATTTTCCTTTCCTGGTGACCTAAATTCTGGGTTAGATAATTTATGGAGCACCCAGGACTTTATACTTGGCCCATTTCATATCCTCCTCGGTTTTTATTTAGCTTTTGTTCAAGAGTTCCTCCAAGTATTCCCTTGGGCCATATTTGTTTTGACTATTAAGCCAACATTCAGTCATTCTTTTAATGATTCCCTTATGATTATCCTTAGGATTTTTCAATTTGAGTTTCATATAGTACTCACTAAGGACCCTGCTTTCTTAGGGAATATTAGATGCAAGTGATGTGCTGGCTTGCTTGTGTCCCCTTCTATGGTTATAAGGACTATATCTTTTGGCCATGATTAATATAAATAATTATTTTTATTTAAAAAATATTTTATAAACTGACTACTCTTTGGTTGAATTTTATTTTATTCAGGCAAATGCATGAAAAATTATGGCTACATTACTTTTTCTTAAAATCCTTGACTATAAGTGTTTTTAATTTAGTATTTTAATTTAATAATTTGAATTTTCTTCTTACTTAGAAAAGTAAGATTATTTAAATTAACAAACCTATTAAGTTAAAAGATGAAAAAGCTTTATTATTATTTTAAGCATTTGTTATTCAATCCGTCATTATAATTGAAATTTATTAAATATCCTTCTTACTTTTCAATAATTAACATTGACAATAAATTGTTTACCTTTTAATATTTTTATAAATGAAATTAAAAAAATTAATTTAATATATAAATATGTAAAAAATATAATTTGATATAATATCATATTAAACAGAAGGTGATAGAATTTAAGCTATTGAAGAATTGATATTTTTAATAAGACTGATATTGATTCTGATTAATGATTTCAATGCCTATCATTTATTCAAAATTGATAATTCATAGAAATTTTAATTAATAGATAACAAGAATGTTTAACACTGTTATTTAAACAGATTCAGTTTATTTTCTTGATAAAATTAAAACCTATGTTTAAATCTAAATTATAACTTTATTATTTCATGTCTTTCTACTTTGAATGAATTTTTTGCCTCCATAAAATATTTCCAAAAAGGCATTCTAAATTTTGATTATTAATTACAGAACCCAACTACAAATTCACCTGTATTGTAGTATTTCAAAGGATCAATAGTTAATGCTTTCCTAGATTTAATCTAAAGATATTTTTATCTTCATTAATAGGTTCCCCTCTTTTAGTATAATCCAAAGGATTTTACTGCAGATAAATGCAATCTTTTAATAAACTAAGAAATTTTAGCCCATTTATCTATTGTATCAAACCAAATTTCAAATATTAAGTATAAAAATAAATTTATGGTTGGAGAAGTTTTGTTTTAGTAATTCAAAGATACATAAACCAAAAGAACAAAAATATTCCTCTAAAAATCAGAATTGAATATTCTATTCAAAATTAAAAAAATGGCATTCTAAAAGATAGCAATTAATTCAAAACAACAAATTGTGAAATTATAATTGAGATCTATATTAAAAATATAGAATTAATATATATTATCTTGATTAACATTATTAATTTTTAGATAATATAATTTTTTCTTTAAAATATCCCTTCACAGGTCTACCTTTAATTATCTTATCTTAAACTTTTTGAAGGGATGTTTATAAATTTCATGCAAATATATTCTCTGCTCTGCATGCATCTAAAATAATTATTCCTATCAAATTAGGGGTCTATAAATGGAGAATGGTTTAATTATTAATAGGGAATATATATTGTTTTTTTTTCCAAATCCCTTTCTGATTTTAGTTTTTGGACTATGATTAGGATTGTAAAGTTGTAGATTAGATAAATATTATAGTTAATTTAAAAGAAAAGTTTTAAATTGTATTGGCTGAATTAAAAAAAAATATTGGATTCTAGTCAATCAATAATAGTAAAGAAATAAATTTATATTTTTAAATAATATTACCTAAAAATAGGATAAATCATTGAAGATAAATTTAAATTTAAATTTGATAATATAAAAACATTATTAATTGTAAAAATTAAATCTTCAGTAGCATAAAGTTACCATTGAAATCTTATTTCATAATTTAATTCAATAGTTGATTCTTTAATAAATTATATTTTTTTTAATTTTTCTTATACCTCATCAATCATTATGTGTAAAGTGATTTTCTAGATTATTATTACTTTAAAAATTCAATCTCAATCATCAATGTTAATTTAAATTTCAGATCATTAATTACATTAATTTGTCATATTTACCATACTTAGGTCTCTTAGATAATTCTAATCATTCTATTAATTTCATTAAGCCAAAGTTCTTTATTTCAGTTTATGATTCCCAATTTCTGTAGCATCTAATTAAAATAGAAGACAAAATTATTCTCTGAAGAATTACAATTATTTATTATCAAAATTGTTCTTTCCATTAGTTAAACTATTGTTGGTGAACAAATATCGAGGAATTTTTTTTAATTTATAGGATTTTGAGTTAAAAATGTAAAAATGTGAAAATGATTAAAATCTATTTTAATTTTATTTTTAATGAATCTCTTTGTAATTCATATAATTATTCTATTTGAATCTAGGTAATACCAAATTCAAAATTTCTTATAATCTAGAATCGAAATCAAATTCTTCACTTATTTGTTTACAATCACATAATTTTTTAATATAAATATTAACTTATTTTAAATAATTCAAATAGATTTAATTATCTTTTTAGGTTGAATCAAAAGTTATAGCATTCAAATAAAAAAGTGGCATCTATGGAATATAAGTGTAAAACTAGTAAATGGACAGAATTTCTTGAAATTTCACTAACTTTACTAATGCAAAAGATTATTCCTCTTAATTATTGTATTGAAGCAATTATTAAACTAGTAAATATTTGAAAAATAGGATATTATGTATTGAAAAGATCTTATTTCTATTAATATATTATTATGCACGTAATAAATTTACTAAATAATTTAAGTGGAGGAGTTACTTATGAGGAAAATGAACTAAAAATTTCTTTAACAGGTTCTATTTATTGTTACTTAAATTGTTTCATATCAGCCTTGACTTTTAATGTTATTTTATTGATTTCATATTTAGCCAATAAACTGATGAATTCTTTTTAAATATTCTTTGATTTAATATAAATTATGTAATTATTCTTGATTTTTTCTATATAATCCATCTTTTTACAATCTTAAAATATAATTCTTGGAAAAAGATTTTCTTTTTATTATAAATTTCAAGCCATATAAAAAAGCTAGATTCTATAATTTTACGAAAGTTAGGCCTATTT